CTCTCTGCTTGCCCCTGGAGTCTTTCTAAATCTTTGCAAACGTTCCAGAGAGGTTTCGATGCTGCTCAAATTTGTACCACGTGCATCGGAACGTATCTCGATTCGCGTTACAGGATATTGTGATGATTAAGCAGGAACCGAGACGCTCGGTAATTCGAAATCGAACCAGTTGCTCGCATGGCTGGTGTTTCCGTCGTAAACTTCTTGACACACGTCGCCTGGCACCGTATCGATTACTGACATAGCCGACGCGTTAAATTTCTCCGCGCCATGTAAATTCCACGGGAACATTACCAGGGGCCGGTGACCCTCGAACGAACTGATTAACGTGTCGTTCGCGTCGGAAGACTCGCGCTTCTTTTTCCAATTAAGGAAGTCGCGACGAGTCGATCGCGGCAGAGGACTCGCGAATACCGAAAGTGTGCAACGAATGAAAGTTTACTATCAAGGATACGTCGAACGTGGTTACGGGGCGCGTTCCCTTTTACAATTATTTAACACCGTGGTCACCGTGTTTTTATACGCGAGACTCTTACGTATCGCGAATTCGAGAAAGCGTACGTAAATGGGAGTTCACACGACGCCGCTGGAAAACGATGGACCCATCGAAAATGCCTTTCCATTCGCGTCAGACTTTTAAAATCTTTGTCACTTTTATTTTCGCGAACTTGTATTTACCGAACTGGCTCGAACTTGCTATTTTCATGGAAGAATCGCAACACTATCGAACATGCGGAATATTTGTAATTTAATGGAGTCAGTTTTATAACTAATTGGGCATTCTAAGAGTGATCGATATATCCCATGGACTGGTATATGATAATTTTTAAACGTAACATGGCGGCTTGTTGTAGGAAGAAGTAGGTCGTTGGAACACTCGTGAGAGAGAAAGGTCGAGCGTAGCCCTCTGGCGGCGAACGCGTAACTTTTTAACCGATTTAAAACCGTAAAACCGTCCGTGCTCTTTACGTACAGATTCAATCGTTTAAAAGGAATCGGTAATCGCGGCCAAATAAATCGACCGATTTCGATCACAGCTGCGACCCCAATCCGAAGCGATACGTATCTTTAACGCCATTCTGTAGCTCGCTGCGATATATTTCCAATAAAATTTTATAGCTCGCAAATATATCATTCGTCTCGCGGTTATTTACGATTCTCGAACGATAATTGGAATAATAACTCGCGTGAAATTACGATAACTCGTATTAGTTTTCGATAAGCATTTAATTAATATTTAAACGTTAGGTTAGGGATGCTCTTCCAGAAAAATTTTCAAGTTTCCCGCCGTTTTTTAATTTGCTATTACCAGAATAGAGAGGGGGGGAGGCTGTTTAAAATGTTTTTTTAAATTTTTCTGAAAAATTCCGCCGGGGGTTGTGCCACCACCTACAGTAACGTCATTTCCAAGAAATTCTGCAAATTCCTCAAACTCGAGCGAAGGGAGGAGCCGCGGGTGTCCATGAGGATTTCCTCACGTACGAGGGTCGTTCGATAAGTCCTTAGAAAATCCAAGACCTGGTGCTCGTAACATCGAAAATGGTTTGGTTTTAGTAAGCATCATGACTCACTATACAACTGTCAAAGTTTCAGTTACATCCACCACATGGTTTCATTTTTATCGTCGATCGAAGCAAGGAACTTTCTCTTGCATCAAGCACGGGTGCGCACCTGTGCTGATTCGATGGCCAAAATCATGGAATTAAAGTTTGAATTATTACAACATCCACTGTATTCACCGGATTTGGGCCCCCAGCGACCTTTTTTATTTCCAAACATTAAAAAAATGGCTGGGCAGAGAGCGGTTCACGTCGAACGAGGAGGTCAACGCCCGAACAGATGCCTATTCTGAGGACCTTCCGAAATCCTACTTTCTAGATGGCTTAAAACAGTTGGAGAAATGCTTGGAAAAGTGTATAGAGCTGAAAGGGGATTATGTTGAAAAATAAAAAAAAATCTACCTAAAATAATTTATTTTTCTATCTTTTTCTAAGGATTTATCGAACGACCCTCGTAAAAAGAAAAAAATAGAAATTAAGAGTTTGAACCGGTCAAAACCGGATTTCTAAAGTTCCCAGAGCGTTTCTGAAATTCTGGTGACCTTGACCTAATTTTGGGCAGCATTTGGACCTGGACATCTCTCACTTTCTCGCTTAGGAAAAAGAGAAGAGGAATTATGGAGCAGAGCAGCGTCGATTCGATCCCGTTCGCGAATATTCGGGAGAAAAAAATGCTCGATAACGAAGAAGAGGGAGTACGTTGGGTTATCGGTGGGCCGCGAAACTTTTAGAGTCGATCATTTCGACCGTGTCGCGTCCATGATATTTACGCCGTTGCAATATCGTAACCGGGGAATGTTATTGCCAAGCCCCGGCGATAGTAAATCCATTCGTTCGGCAATATCGCGGCCCGGCCACGCCCGTTTCGCGCCCGTTTACGATTTTAATTTTCCCCCGTGGCGCAAGATGACCGTGGATTCATAAATCGATAGCGGATCGCCGAATCGGGAATTTACGCGCGTTTAATACACACGCGATGCATATTCACGCGTGTACCGAAACCACCGACGATTCTTATAGACAGGAGACGTTTCGAGGAGGGGTGGTGGTGCGAGGATGGAACGAAACAAATAAAAAAACTGGAAACGACCGGCGTTCGATTTCTGTCAATGAGATTTAATTGTTGCGCGTCGAAACAGCTTTCTATATATATATATAAAAAAAGATACAAAAATATTCCGTTCGGTCGTTTTCTTACGCGTGTACAGATTGTGTGCAGAAACGTATTTCGTCAGAAAAAAAAAAATAAAAAACGGTGTCTCAATTTATACAAAATCTACAACGTATTATTCGCTAAATATTTCATCGAAGAGTGACCCCGTACCCTCTCGCGGGGCGTATCGAAAATGTACACATGGGGTGGAATTGGGGGGAGTGAGTGAAATGTAAAATTTCGAGTCGAAGCGAAATCACGCGATTACGAGGAGGATTTCTTGTCCGGATGTTGGAAGGGGGCTGAGACGAAAAGCCACCCGCCGGAAGCGAGCCCGTCGATCCCGTGGAGCGTTTCTCGAGGGCGACGCGTAGATCGCCGGAAGAATGGAAGGTCTCTCGAAAACGTCGTTGCGTCGTTCGTTCGTGGGCCGTTGATCTCTGTTGTTCTTCTCTCGGTTCCCTCAGTGTTTGTTCAACGAAACGCGCGTAAACTGCGACGGTCGACGGGGGTGTGGGTGGGAGGGGCACCGGTGGGGTTTTTTTTTTCTTTTCCATTATTCGGCGAGAGACAGAAGTCTTCCCCCGAAGTAACCGTGGATGGGTCAGGGTCTCTTCGTGAACCGACAATCGGTGATTACAGCCAAGATGTGCGTTGGTGATCGGTGAGCAAATTTCCTTCTAATTATCCACGGATACCCGGTGTCTCTTACCACCAGCCTGAAAAGAGTTTTTCGTGCGTTAATCGCGAAGCTTGGGCGAACGTCTCCCCCGCCGGACGATGTCCCGGGTGCTTTTGTTTACCGCTCTTTGTCCCCCAGGATCCCGCCGTGCCGGCTGGATTGTCGTTTTTAATTATTTTTTAACCCGCGTCCCCTTTAATCAAACGCACGGAAACACTGCCCGCGACGGGATTGTTTGTTGCGTCACCGTAGTCGTCCCAATTGTTCGTTCCCCGAAAAGTTATCCTTTTCGCGAGACGATTCCCTCGAATCCACTCTATCGTTCGCGATACTGTTCACGAAAACCCTCTATTTCGGTCTCCTTTACAAGCGAATCGTGAACAATTATTACAATGTAATAAATTTATATATAACTCTTAAGATTTTTTGTTTGCGTCGAGAAGGCACAGTACCGTTCGCTGCATTTAGATACGAGTACGAAGGTTGATTGGTCCTTAACCGAAGTAGCGTATCGAAAGGATCGATCTAATATTTATTTTCACCCCTTCCGTCGCCCCCCGACCGGGAGTTTCATCGCCCCGCGAACCGTTTAATTGATATTTAAACTGCAGGCGGTAAATTTAGACGCTCGACGTTTATTTACGTCCCGCGAAGGGCCGTTGCATTCGACGATTCCGCGCAACTAATTTTCCAGTATTTCAGCGTTCGAAACCGGGCAAAAAGTTATTAGCATATGTTAACGGCCGTCGATATCAACGATCGGTGAAATATGGTGAAATTTTTCAACCGACGCAGGACAGATACAATAAAATACAATAAAATTTATACAAGTTGCAAGGTTCGACAGAAGACTCTAATCTCGATAGGAGTCAATGAATTGAAATTATTTCGTCCCAGGCCCGATTTAGATATTTCTCTTTTCCACGAAAAAGCCACCCCAAATTTTTAAATAATTTCTCGTTCGTTAACTTCCCGTATATTTCTTTGCTAATTAACCGCTTACCGTACAATGACGAGTCAATCATGAGGCTACTCGTCATCGTGTCTTACTTATTAAAATCAACACAATTTGACATTCACGAGGCTTGCACGAATTAAAACAAAATTAAACAGTATACGTTTGAAAAATTATTTGGAATCAAATCGTGCGTTAAGGGGTTAAAAATGGTCGAGTTTCTCGTTCGTTGACATGGAATTATTATCAACTACAACTAGAACTCTCTCTCTGACAGAAAATTGCAACAAGTGCCAATACTCGAGATATAATAAAATAAACTCTCGCGATACAAAAAACGAAAAGTTTCGTGTTCCGACATTTTTAAGTAATTTGCAAACAAACGTGACATTTGGAATGCTTGCAATTGAGGTAAGCTTTCCTACAAACGCGATTCTTTCTTTCACAAATTCATATATCATCGATTCTTTTTCGTGGCCGTTCCTTGTACGAACAAACTTAAATAGTGTATGTTTAAAAAATTATTTCGAATTAGATCGTATCTGAAGAGGTTAAAGTTGGCCAAACAAATAAATTGGTGGGAAGGTTCAAGACGAAGAACGAAGTGCTCGGCGGGGGTGTTGAATAATTATCTAAATACGGGACACTTACCACCGCCGCCGCCGCCGCTGCTCCATCCACCGCCACCGCCGCTCCATCCACCACCGCCGCCGGATTTCCATCCGCCTCCGCCGCCGCTCGGCCATCCACCACCACCGCCGCCACCCGACCATCCGCCGCCGCCACCGCTGGGCCAGCCACCGCCCCCGCCTCCGCCGCTCACGGTGATCACCTTGATGATTTTTCCACCACCGCCTCCGCCGCTGCTCCAACCGCCACCGCCCCCGCTCCAGCCGCCTCCACCGCCGGATTTCCAGCCGCCACCACCGCCGCCCCCGCCGTTCCAGCCGCTGCTTATGTAACCGGCTGCAACGCGAAAGCGGAATCGTCAATTTTCTTGACTCGGTGACTTTCAACGCGTTCACTGTCCGGCTTCTCGACGGTGTATCCAATAGCACGGTGACATGACCCGTATGAGGGCCACAGACAGCGAATGTGTAAGGTGCTTGTACTCTTAACGCTTACCGACAAAAGAATTGTTAAGATTTTGGTTCCCAAAGGAAAGTGAGCCAATGGTGTAAAACAGAGTATACAAAGAAAGGTACATCGAATCTTGGAGCCAAATTATTTTGACCATACGAGTCATGGACAGTGAACTTGTTAACCCTCTGAAGGGGGGGCATCCAGCAAAGAATTTGGATGCACCCTCTAAGACAACGACATTAGTTTTTTAAAGTGTTTATACGGGACACAAGCGGAAAATTGAAAAAAAGAAGATATGTTTGCTTGAAATATTTACCATCGTATGATGCTTTTTCTAAACATGTTTGTTTGCAAAGGGTTAGTACTAGAACCACCAATTATGGTGTATTTATATTATGGTGACTGATAATTTACCAAAACAGTATTCAGTCTTTGTCAGTTGAAATTAAATGTTTAATTAACAATTCCTTTAACAGTGTCGACCCAATTTTCAGTCCCTCACGGTACAGAAGTGTCTATAATAAGTTTCGTAACAGCATTATAACGAATATTCGCCTCTTTTGCAAAATCGAGAACCGTTTTATTACGGAACTTATTAAACATTATATTCAGCGGAAATTAAACGACGTTTTATCTTCAAAGAAATTTTCTCAAACGGTATGTAACTTCTTCATTTTCTATACCCGGAATAAAGTGGACGAAGCCATCGCTGCACGAAATTACTTTCCCTTCCGACGATGTATTACTTTGATCGACCACGATTTAAAACTGTGCCGTTTTCCTTAAACTGTGCAGTCAACACAAAAAGAATTGGAAATCGGTTTTTTAACACGAGTCGCGAGTTTAAAGAGATTAAGAACCACTGTCTTAACTCGTCCGTGTAGAACCGGTGTGCAGTGACCACTTTCGAGCGGCCCCTCTAATCGCACGATCCGCGTAGATCGCACCATCCTTTCGAGTCGAAAGATCTAGACAACGCGATCGCGGACACTGAATCGTTGAACTCGATAAAAATAACCCGTACTCGCTGCAAGTTATTCTGGACTTTGATCGAACCCTTTTTTAGCGAGAAAGACAGCACAAAACCCCCAGGCAAACCTCGTTAAACTGTCGGAATTTGAAAACTCCTGTAATATTTATTTACGGAACGAATCTTTCAATTCAGGTGCTTCTACCTCGTATTACAAATTGAAAATGAATACAACTCGAGTTTTTTAAACAAATTACTGTCAAACTTGGAGACAATTTTTTAAATTCACTTTCTTTGATCTGAAGCTAGCGTTTACCCTTCTAGCAACACATTGGTCATTTCTACGTCGAATCAGCCTTGCTTTCGTGAATCTTGACCACGGTACGAACCGTTCAACCCCTCGAAAAGAACGCGAATTTTTAGTATGTTCGCAAAAATATAATAGACATATTATCCCAATGGCTAAAAAAGTTATAGATTCTATTTCTTGCGAACAAGACCTCTTCCCGTTGAGAGTAAGAAATTAATTCCGGACACGGCGTCTTTTTGCACCGAGAGCGTCGCGGGACGATCGATGGTCTATTGTTGAACCAGACTGGGAACGCTATGTCCCGGTATAGCAACCGGAGTTGTGCAAATTTTATTTACGAACGACGAATAAAGATTCTACCAGTCGTGTCAGCTTCCAACCACGGATATAATAAATAGTCGAATGAACGAAAGAACGCTTCGTGTTTGCACAAACCCTTTCAAACCGTAAACTGAAACGAATTACTAAGTTTCATATTGTATAATATACGTTTCTAAATAGTCAAACAAACGAGAGAACACTTATTCAATCATCGTGTTTGCACAAACCCTTTCAAACTGTGAACCGAAACGAATACGTAGCATGTTTTGTGTTTCTGCACTGTAATTTTTACAACAGCGAAAAGAAATTTTGTAACAGAATCGTATCCAGTGACTCTAATTTGTACATCGACGATGTATTAATATTTTAGCAGTTCCCGGATTATCGAAGAAGATGTCAAACTCTGTCAAAAATGCGTGCTATCGTGATATCGTTCGTAACCAAGCAAATATCAACGTCACTCGTGTTCGAGCGACATGGCTTCCCGTGGATTGTGAGTGTCACTCGAATTCGACGCGTCAAAGTGGCCCGTGCACGGTTGTGGCGGGTTTGCCCGCGGGTTTGCTCGAAAAGCGAACGACGGTCTTTTCCGCGGGCACGATAGTCGATCGAACACGCTAGCAAACCTTCCGCGAACCTCGAGAGTAAGAAATTAATTCCGAGCACGATGTCTTCTTGCACCGAGACAAGGTCGCAAGAGCAACGATCGATGTTAAACAGAACGGGGAACACGATGCACCTGGTACAGCGATCCGTACACACGGAGAATTTCAGCTAATTTACGTGTTGGTCTTCCCCGTGAGTTACTTTCGCGAGGAACGCAACTGATCAAACCTGCGGATAAACTTCCCATAAAGACAACTTCATATGCAGATGATCGTGGCAGGCACAAACAGAGCAAAACTATTTGGATACACATTTTGAACAATTCAAATTTAACGTCAAATAAACGTCGGTAATAAATTCCTATATTAAAGTCTTATCTCTGTTGATAGCCGTGGTGTAATAAAATAGTAAGATATAAAACTGCTCTACACCCCAGATTCTACGTCCCGAGAACACTGGCACAAAAATTAAAAAGATTTTTCTTTGCACATTATCTGAAATGACTTTCTCAAAGTGTATTGTGCCTGATGTATCACTATTCTCAGCACCACTTGGGAGATTTATTCACAGACTAAAAAAAAAGAAAGATCGGTCGACTAATCCTTAACCTTTTGCACTCTACTGGACGCCACTATGGCAACGTAACACGTACCATAGCTCGATCTAAGTTTCATTTACATAAATAGAATATAAATTATAGCTGTTCGTACAATTTTCTATGAAAAAGAATATTCTCTCATTTTCACGTCACAAAATTGCAATAAACAAAGCCAGGTCAATTACGGGAAAAGCCGTCCGTTCTGCGCGCGCAGGCCCCGTCCAAGATGGCGGAAAATACAAATCTCTACCGATACGAGGGTACCGTGTATCGCGAATTTCCGTCGAGACGCGCACAAACGAGATCACAGCCGATCGTAAAGTCGCGATCGTGATTGTACTACTCACCATAGGTGGTGGCTACGAGCGCCAAGAAGACCGTAATCGCGAACACCTGTAACCGAAAATAACCGGTGAATAGTACGCGAATAAGATCAGAGTAGAATTGCGAGTATACACCGCTCACGCACGGCTGTTGCCACGTACCTTCATGTTGAGGTGTTTGATGCCCATCGTCGTGCCCGGCGCCTCTTTTATAGCACTTGCCTTTCTTCGCCGATCCCCGCCCTTGCGCTCCTCTTGGCTACCCGGTTCGTCTTCTGCCGTTCATAACACCTAACTTTCGTCCCACCACCGTCGAAAATTCCCCCGCCCGTCTTCGTAGTCGTGTCGACTGCGTGCATGTGCACCGCGAAACCCACTCTTCGCGGTTCCTCTACGTGCAACGACGCAACGGCGACGGTCTCAATCTCGTCGGGCGATCTTGAATCCTTCGCGGCGATCGGCGCCTGGTGTTACAGGGTCGTGCGAGCTCGTTGACGATTGTTTGTCAAAATCTGGGGCCCCCGGTGTGTGGAAATGCGCCGACCTCGTTGCCCCTCGGAGGAAACGCCGATGATTCATGCGCGCGATCGTCTCTCGATGCTCGGAGGGCGGTTCAAAGTTTCGCGGGAAATCGTGCGTGGGCGGAGACCTCGGGAGCGTCCCGGGGCACGGATTTTGTGCAACTTCGCGGCGGAGCCCTGACGGAACGAAGCCCTGGGAACTGGTCCCGGGACGTATGCAAAAATCGCTCCAAAAATTTCTATCTTTCCGTGGGATTTTGCCCCCGGGTGGCGATAACGGTGAGAATTGCGGGCTAGTTGCGTCAAGACTGTGTACAAAGAAACCGGAGTATCCAGAGGGAACGAAAGAGGAAAATGAACAGAAATGGAAACGAGCGTACGAGACGGTCAACGATGGGTGAAATTTGCGGTGGAAATATTTTAAATGCTACTTTGAATAAAATTACTTGGAATGAGATTCATTTTAGGATTTGCATATTTCGTTTTAACGTTTTAAGATATGAAATAGAATTTCCCCTTTGTTAATATTCGAACACCTTTGGTGGTGAGTCTACAAGTGGAGGAATGGCGGTGGTTGATGTTCAAATTTTGAAAATGAAAATGAAGAAGAATGATTTGTTTGATCCATAGGGGGTTTCAAGCCCCTGTAGTCCTCGTGTCTAACATTTAAATGTAACTTAGTAATTTAAATTTACGGGATAGTATTATGAAAATATTAAACGTTAGTGTCACTAGTATCATATTTACTACGACAATAGTTTATTACCGGTCAACCAGTTATGCAGATAAGATTCTCTAAACCTTCATTTTACGGGTTATGGTAAGTCATAATGATCGTACTAAACGGAGCTTTCTCTTCACTTTCGTTAGAGGCATCGACAGTTTCCTCGAGCAATTCATTAAGCGAACCATTTACGATACAGATAGAAAATGATGTAATTTAAGCCAAAAGGTACTGAAATTTACTAATTTTTTTTACGCTGCTCGAAACACGAGCATTTTCTATTGATTAAATGTCCCATTGCCCCGTTTCGATTTTGCGATTATTTCATATTTCCGGAACTCTCGGTTTAGTACTTTCTCCGATAAAACCTAATTCGTGATTAAACATTTCCCGTAAAATTGAGCTTCGATGTTAGCTTATAATATTTGTGAATCGTAGCGTAAAACAAAGTTAAAACAAAAAGCGAATACAAAAAACTTGAAGGTCCATAATTCGTTGAATGCTCGTTCAAATTAGCAAAATTTGTTATTCGTTGAGCCGCGTGGGGGGAAAAGGTAAAAGCATCGTGAAAAAAACAAAAGTTTTGAATCGACAACGTCGAGAGGAAGTTACGAAAACCACAGGTTAATTAAAAAAAAAAAAATTGTTTGCGATTCTTTCTTTTCGTATCGATGACTGTGCTCGAGTCTTTCTGAAATTCCAGACGAAACAACGTTTTGCCCCCCGTCTATAAAAACAACTCGCTCCTTTCGAATCGTCGATCATCCGGGAATACCCAACTCAGCACTTTTTATTTTTTCTTCTTAATCTATTTGTTTTTTTTTTTTGATATCGTGCACGCAAATTGTAATTGTTACGTAACCACTGCTCGCACGTCGGAATTACGAAAGTAGCCATTGCTGGGATAAAGTGCGGTCAGAGCAGTGCAAGTGGCAAACGTAATTATTACGATAGAGAAATTTTTCTTCGCGTATCGCGTTGCTTAATTGAGCTGCCTCGCGCTTGTTACGAGATGAATATCTCGACGACCCGTTTTTATTTCTTATTATCCTCGAACGATGGATATATCGGATAACAGACAAGAATTCTTTACATGCTGCCATGAGTCGACGAAAACTGATTTCTCAAATAGTTGCAATTAACCATCGATGGTCATCGAATGCGATTCTAGTTAAACGGTCACTTAATGTGGCTGTGGCAGTTAAAAAAATATAAATAAAACGACGATAGTAAAAATCATATATTTATGGTTCATTGTAATTTTGTATAGAAATGTACGAGTATTCGTCGTTGTAAGTTTGAAGCGCTGGTCACCGGTGACCACCGCGACGGTCGACTACCGAATAAATTTTTTTAAAACTACTCCTTTTCGGTGCAAATGTCCTGTCTTGGGGCGTTCTCGACCTGAGACGATAATCAATCGCCAGGAACTTTTAATCAGCGGAATAATGGGAAATCGACGGGATAAAACGTCGCGATTTGACGATTCGTCTCGACGGTTGTTCCGGCCAGGTTCGGCGTCGACGTTCCTTGGAGAGCCCAGACGGTCGTCTGGCCGGTAACTCGTGCTTAATCGTCGACCCCCGGGGGAACAATGGATCGGCGATAATGGATTCGGGATGGTTCGCGATCATTCATTTCCGCTAATGCGACTCCGCGCGATACAACGCCGCCCGGCGAAACTATCGTCTCGCGTGACGTACGCGAAAGCTTCTCTCTCTCTCTTTCCCTTTCGATCCATCCACGGAATAAAAGGTAACGACGCCCCGTTGATGCTCGTGAGACAGACCGGGCCTTTCTGGCCTTTCACCGGTCGCAGGTTGGACGGACTTCGCCTTAAGGCGCGTCTCCACCAGCGTTCGCAAACTCTTCGCGAGCAACGATTTCCAAGAAACGGTTTTCCAACCGTTCGTAACGTTACACGATTACTCGAGGGCTGTTCGATAAGTGAGAACACGAAGAAAAGTGTCTTTATGAAGCAACACAGTCTATACGCTGCTCGATTCTGTCCATATATGTAGCGTGGCGATGCTTCTCGTACTCGCCGCCAGAGGGCTACGCTTACCTTTCCTCTCTCGCAAGTACTCGATCGACCTACTCAATCTAGTACCCTATTCCTATATATACCTCGACTGACCATCGAATGTCCACGCAAATAATCCAAAATAGTTCTTGAAATCATTCTAAACGAATCACACTACCATGTCACAGTCTCACTGATAATTAGTCTTAGGAACAGGTGTCAAGGACGAAGTTGAAACTAATCCAGACTGTTGGCTCGACGTGTTGCAATTCCAACAACACTAACATTGTCGAGTAAGTCATATAATAAACGAATTACCACTGTTCCCGTACCTCTTATTTGCACATATTTCTCAACATTCGCTGTTGTGTCACCGTTGACGAGTGTAATGTTGCATATAGTATGACATCGAGATTAGGAAATGTCATCGTCCGAACAGAGGGTGTCACAGACAATGTCTACGGGGACAGGGCGTCTCCGCAAGCAGGGGCCATCGGGTATTGTTAATCCTATCAATTTTCCCCGATAACAACGAAACGTACGAAACACCAAACAGTAGCTCAAACGTGAACCTGTCGATGAACAGTCTCCGCCGGTTATATACTTCGATAATAATTGAACTATATAAATAAAAATTCCACGTGTCGGAAAAAACCGTTTAAAATCAACTGAAAGTTAAAGTAGTCCAAATCACGGAAACAAAAATTTGATATTCTATGCCGCTTGCGAAGCAAATAATCGGAATAACGACTACGCCAAATCCAAATTAGTATCTTCCCAGAGAAAGTAACAAACGTAATAAAAATAGTTCCAACGAGGGAAGGTTGCGTTTCCGTTTGTGAAAGACGGAAATCTCAGGTCAACGACGACTATGAAAGTGTTCGCGCAAGATTCGAATATCTACCAAGTTCTACCATCTGCAATACTCACGGCCCCATCATCGCCATTCATAATAATTTCAACGCGGAACCTTTGCCTACGATTTATTTCTTATTTCCTTTTATTAACGGCCATCGATTACTGCAGTCAGTTAATCCAGAGACTTATGCGAGTTCCCTGCTATCCACCGTTACGCGAGTTTCACGCTATCGGATGTTAACCATCGATCATCCGCAGGTCGTGACTAAAGAGGTGTTGGATCATTTGCAAGCGTGTTCTTCGTCCGGAAAGCGAGAAGAAAATTTCGATAGTACGCGTGAATTTGCTAATCATCGTGAACTGTGCTGTAATACTGTCGGGCATCGAATAAGAACATTACAAACGACGAAAGCAGCTTCGAACGTCTTTTGCAAATCGTGGTCCACGACTAAACAATCCGATGCGTAACAGAAACGAAATTGCTGGCCGCGTTTATTAAGACATTTTTCGTATTTTATAACGTCCCTCTCGTCTTATATAACGACGTTGGAACGGAATATCTGCTCGCGTTTCACAGACTCTTGACACGCGTTTCCATCTCTCGAAGACGTACGAAGCAAATACAGTCTGTCTTCTCTTGCCTTTTAGACGCAAGAAACTGGCCCGGGATGATCTATCAAGCGCGTTGATGCAAAAATCGATTCTTAACGTTGCTCCCTCACTTTGAAATTCTCTGTGACAAATCTATTTTCGCGATACCGTCCGCAATTTATGGAAAAACGTTCGATTCTCGGATGCGGTGTCACAGAATTGCTTTTGGACACGATATTCATTTCAAAAATTCTTATTAATAGCAAGAGTGCCAAGTTTGTTTCTGTACGTTGTTTATATCATTTTATTTAGCTTTCGATACGTTAAAGAGGAACCGAAACATACTGAAATAAATAAATCGACAGAATAATATAATACATTTCAAAAACGAGGCTTATAGTGTATCAGAATGATACATTTCGGGGTCAATTTCGACCCGACTCCGAATTTT